TTGCTAGGAGATAAACGAGTCAAACCCTTGAATAATCTATCAAAATCTGCCTCAAACTGGAGAACTGGAATCCCTTGGTTTATGTCCAGCTCACAACAACAGAATTAGAATCCAGTGAAACTTAAGGTGACACTATTATTTATAGGCTATCTCTTGTCCTGTGAACATTTAGGCAGTGAGATAGTCACTTGTCAGTTTTGTGTCACATTATCTCAAGTCACATAAGCTGTTGTAGTCCAAATGCCAAAACAAATAGAACTCTGCTCTCCCTCTTCCTCTCTCCAGTTGGACTAGGTTCTATAATTTCTTTTTCTACATCATTTGCTTACTAGCTAGATAAATGATACACAATAGTAGCCAGTCATCAGATTACTCAGAGATTTGTTTTATTACCTTCAGTATAAACTCAGTTAAGAAAAATTTTAAAATAGTTAACTTCTATGAATCATAAGCATATACAGAAGATGAGGCAAGTTTAGAATTTATGCTGTTAGAAAACCATATATGATAGAAACAAAAAAGACAAAATCACTGATTACTCAAAAACAAATATTTAAACAACTCTAATTGTATGAGATAAACTTTTCAGCTGTTTTGCTTATATATTAAGGAAACTTAAAGTTTATCAAATGCTATGGATGGAACTGTGCCCCCTCCAAACTGTATGTGACTGCATTAGAGACAGGGCCTTTGGAGGTGATGAAGATCCAATGAGAAGCTAAGGATGAAGCCCTGATCCAATAGAATCGGTGTGTCCTTCTAAAGAGAGAAGGAGACAGCAGAGCTCGCTCTCCAACATGTAACAGCACAACGAGGAGGTGGCCACCTGCAAGCCAGGAAGTAGGCTCTGTCTAGAATCTGACCATGCTGGCATTCTGATTTTGGACACACATCCTCCAGAGCTGCCAGAAAACAAGTTTCTGTTGTTGAAGCACCCAGTTTGTGCTATTTTGTTAAGATAGCTAATGCATGCTAAGGCATAAAGGTTGATTATAAGTTTTAAAAAATTATTTTATCAAGAGAAAATTGTCTTCAAATAATTATCACATTCACAAAATCTGGAGCGAAATGAATGAATGGATAAAGGCAGGGTGGAAGTTGATGGAGACAGTGGGAAGCTTGCTCTATCCAAAATGATCACCTTTAAAAAACAGTAAGTAAAAGGGTGGGTAAATTGGGGACATCTGTAATAGTGCCAACAGTAAAAAAAAAAAAAAAAGTTAAAAAAAATACAAACCAGAAAACCAGTGTGGACTAAATAAATTGTGTCTGTAGCTGAATTGAATGGGAGACTAGATCTGGCCTATTTTCTAAATATTCAAGAAACATTATTGACTGGTTGTCTTGGAATGAGACATGGCATGACCTTTACATTAAATTATTGTCTTTAATCACCAAACGAATTATTTTTTTCATATTGGGATTAATATAGTACTGATTTACAGATTACAGGGATTTTATTTAAAATTTTCAGATGCTAATTTATGCAATTCATGTAGATGGCCAAATCAAAATATTTTATATACTATGTAGTAGATTGTTATAATTTACAAGTATAACGTAACCTTTCCCCCCATTCCTAATGACATTTCTATTGCTCTCTTGTGAGCCTTTATGGGATGCTTAAGTATTGAAAACTTGTGCTTTTTTCCCAGACAACTAGCAGTCAAAATTTCTTCACATGCAGCATTCCAGCAAATCTGAAGGATATTTGGTTAATTACAGGTCATTAAGGTAACTAATACTAAATTAAAAATATTTTTAGAAATACTATTGAATTGTTCTCCACCTCTTTCTTAATTCTTCTAGGGAATTGCTACTCAGATGTGGTCCAAAGACCCTCAACATCAGCAATACTTGGGAGGCTGGTAAAAATGAAGAATCTCAGCCCCCAGATCTACCAAATCAGAATCTGCATTTTCACAAGATCCCCAGGTGATTTGTGTGCACATGAAACTTTGAGACGCATTGCTGAGATACTCTTGACTGACATCAGAACATGTTTCTATCACAAAACTGCATGAACTCTAAAGCACAAAACTTTGTCTCCATTTTTTAAAACTTGTTAATGTCTTAGAAGACATGAACATAGAACCCTCGAGTTTCAATGTCTGCATAGTAATATAATAGAAAGTTCCCTGGGCATAGGCTTAAAATCTCAGCCCTGTTATTTATTAACACAGCATAAATAAATAAACATATCCCATGGCTACAATTGTTAATTTTTAATAATAATGTTTACTTTACAGGGTTTGGGAATATCAAATGTAAAATGCATATGTGTATAGCCAACATAATATTCCGAATAAACATGAGTTGAAGAGAGCATACCCATGGGTTAAACATGACTTGATCAGGATCTGGCCAGACAAATGTATAGAACAGGCTGGTGACAGAACAAACCCTAGAAAAACTTCACTTTCCCAACTATTCAAATCATTCCCTGGCTACTGAATGTGTGAAACACACATATACATATTTAACCAAAAGTAATTCTATTTCAATGTCCCATGAGATCTCTCTGTCCCAGACTGAATCTGTCATCTTCCTGCCCCTCATCACTGGGCCTGTTGTATTTCAATGGCTTCCCACCTTGGCTAATGGCTCTATTATCCACCTGGATACCTAACCCAGAAATCATGGAGTCTTTCTAATTCCTTCTTCTAAATCAGCATCTATATCCAATCTGATACTTGGACCCACTGAGAGTCTTTCCAAATCTCTTTCAGATTCATCTCTGTTTCTCCTTCCATTACGCTACTGTTTAGTTCAGGGTTTATGATTTGTTTGGACCAGGATTTTCCCAAGATCCTGCAAAACCCATCTCAGAATACTGATCTACCTTGTAGGACGACAGTGAGGTTGATCTTTCTGAATAAACATGTCTGTTACATCCATGAGATCCCCTGTCTTTTAGAAACAAAAATAAATATCCCAGGCTAAAGAGACAACACTTTTGCTTGTATATGCACAAAATATTCTGGAAGGAGTTAATGTTGGTTTTCTATAAGGAGAACTGTATAGTTGATGAATAGGGTCAGGCAGAAAACGTTTTACCCTACATCATTTTTGTAACTTTAGCATTTGGTACCATTTAACATTTGGTACCATGTAAATGTAACAAAATTTAAAAGAAAATAAAAATTCCTCAGCTGGGTGCAGAGCACGATGTCAATGATTTTCAAAGCAAAAAAAGCATAATCAGAAAAAAAAGGAAAAAAGCAAAAAGCAAAAAGAGAATAGAAAAATGCTAATAGATTAATCTGCAGGATGAGTATATCAGGGATTTACTTTACTATTCAATGTTTCATAATAAAACTTTAAATATAAAAATAAATCCCAAGCTTGCCTATACAAGGTAGTTCATGATCTTCCCTCTGAATGTCTTTCTATCACCTCTCCCAAATTCTTTCCACGTCTCCTTCTTTCTCTCCATGATGAACTACTTATACTTCTCCGGACCAAACTCTTTCCTTACTCACTTCCATGCCTTTGACTATACCAGTCATTTTACCAGTAATGCTCTTTCCTTCCTGGCCTGCATGATGAGCGCCTCTTATTGGGACTTAAGCTTCACAGCCCCCCTTTCCAGGGATGATTTTCCTGGGTTTTTTCTCACCTCTTCCAAACAGAGGTATGCCCTCCTTTTTCTAATCTTTCACAGTACTTTTTACTGACTTATTTTTTGGTTCTTATTGTGGCAATCAGAACACCTCTTAGAACCCAACGATCAGGCCCCTCTTGAAGTCTCTTTACAGGATTCTTCTGGACCTCCCCCAACTATTATCTGCCCAGGGTCTAAGAGTCTGTGGGAAGACAAGGTGTAGCCACCTGAAGTCTCCTCTCTCTTACACTCCAGATCCTGGGTCCCTGAAATTTATCCTCAAATGCTGTTACTTGGATGCCAGTGGCTGCATGGACCTCTTCCTGAATGAATCCTTACAAGTGTGGTCACCCCAAAGCTCAAGGGGTGGCCAAAGCCAACAGGTAAATATTGGACAGAGTGGATAGAATTTAGACAAGCAGGCTGGTATCCATGTGTACATGCAGGTCCTTTTCAATGTATGACAAAGCTAGGGCGGGAAGGGAGCTGTGGTGATTTGGAGGAGACCTCCATTTTTCTTTTGCAAAAATTAGTGGTGCACTTGGCTTTAATTACTTGTGTTTTGTATTGGACTTCTCTTTCATTACTTTTAATTTGGTTTGCAAACTAAGTCTTGCTAGGACAAGAATTATTATCTATTAATATCTGAATCCCTAGTACTTCAGAGAATATCTGACATGATCTCATGGGTTGGAATTTAATAAAGAAGAGTTGAGGGAATAAATGCAGACTTATAAAATGCTATTAAATTTTTAGCAAATTTGCTCATGATAATACTCTCATCCTCAAATTTCATTGATCTTCAACATTCCATTTTGAAGAATAAATTATTAGTGGTAGTATAACTACTAATTTCACAAAGCACTTATAAACTGGTATGCACACACACATACACTATTTCATCCTCACAATAACTCTGTGAGGTTGTAATTTTAGGGATGACAAATCTCATGTCAGTGAATTTAAGTAACTTCCCAAATTTACACAGCTAGGCAGAGGAAGAACTCAGATTCAAACCCAGAAACTCTGGCACCAGAGTCTTAAAACACTAAATTGGTAGAGTTATGATGAAGCTGCAAGAATTGCAAAGCATATCCTTATACTTTTGTCCCTATACTTTCCTGGTTGATTTCCAGGGTACAAAGCTGGTCATTTTCCTAGCAGCTAGGGTCACCAATAAAAAATCTTAAGAAGAAAACTTTGGTTTCCTAAAAACTAGCAAACTGTAATTTTAGGATAAATAAATGGTACCTATGTAGTGGGTAGACATAACTAAAACTATCTGATAAAATATGAATTTTGTTGTTGCTGGTATTAATATTTTGTTTTGTTTCTCTATATTCTATTTCATATACGATAGAGAAAACCTTTGGAAAAACTATAATAGAGTACTTGCCTTCAAGAGCAGGTGAAGCTGGAGTGGTTCTGGAAACTTGCTCTGTTGGTAATGGAGGTGGTATGGCTGGGCTTTGTCCTGTGCACACAATCAAAAGTAGATATTGAAAAAATATTAATAAATTTAATATTCAAAACTAAAATAATCTGATCTGTCCCCAGCATGCATAATTCATAGTCTGAAGTATAAATTTATATTATTATGCAATAGGAAAATTGTTATTAGGTGAGATCCTTAAATGGTTACATACATAGATGCAGCTGTCTTTAGAGCCATTTCTGAACGTATTACTTTTCCAAATGTATACACACTGTTAAATATATTTACTGGACTTCATTAATGAAAACTCTACATGCAATCAAATAAAGCAATTTATTTCCAATATGCACTTAAATTATGACAACTAAAATTGCAGAAGCTGAGAGGAATCCTACTATGAAAAAAATCACCATTTTTTAATTTAACTAAAAATTCTCAAATGATGTAATAGTGCAATAAAAGAAGTTTAAAATTCATAGGCCTTTTGATGTTGAACAGGTACATTTTCTGCTGCCAAAATAAATGACCTGCAGTTAAGTAAATAATGGGCCAAAGGGAAAATATATTCAGTTTTGTAGAAGCTTGAAAGATTCCCTCAAGTCTCTGAGCTTATTATGAACTGTATAAAAACCCACAGTCATTTCCAAGGGCTTCTTTATCCCAAGTGACTTCTTTAATTAACCAAAACCATCCGGGCCATGAGCTGTAAACATTAACTAACATGTGATTCTATATGAAATGCCTTGCAAAATGTTTTATCATTAATTTTTATTTCATGAGCTCCTGCTGTGTGGTATGTTTTAATCCTGGAATCATTGCGGGCATACGTACCTTCTAAAATCTCACTGACAACTAGATATTATCAAATGTCAGCAGACCCTGCTGTTTACTGGAAGTTTTCTTTTTTTAGAATTCATCAAAATTACTTTGCTCTGGTGAACTGCGGAGTAGCAAGCGGAGCAATTCAAGCTGCACATGAGCATTCTTTGGTGATGAAAAGGGCAGCATCTAAGCCTAGACCCTCACGCCAGGTAGAAGTTAGCCTCTATTCATTACAGGAGTTTCTTCTAGTTAATAGAGACAGTTGGTTGATTCTCGAGCACGTTCAATTATGCATAAAAGCAAAGCATATTGTTTCACAATACGCAGGCCATATACATAGAAAAATACCAGTCCATATTTTTATTAGTTTTTTTCCTCATGAAAACAAAAATTTCTTGGAAACAAAATGCAACATGGAAGTTCCATTTTTTAGCAAGCAAAGTATAAGTAAGGCCTGGCACACTAAAAAAGAAGTTTATTCCACATTTTTCCACCAGGTAACATTTACATAGTGCTTATTATGTGCCTGGAACAAGCTCAAACAATGTTGGAATAAGTCATTTAACCTTCACCAGATTCTTAGGATGTTAAGTATAATTTTCATTTTGCTGAATGAAAACTGAGGGAAACGGGTTTAGACCATTCAGCCCTTAAGGTGTAGGGTTGCATTTCCATGCAGGCTCTAGATTTGAGGTGCTTCAAGTTCCCTTTAGACTGTTTAAGGAAAGCAAAGAGTCATCTTATATAAGGGGATCCATGACTGCCACTGGGAAGGAGAAGAGGAGAGAAGCTTCCACCCTGTTCTTTTGTGCTTTGTAAGTCAAGGGGACATATACTTGGAGAGATTTTTTCCCAAGTTTTGCTTGAGAGCTGTTTTTGAAAAAAAAATTTCTAAGGTAGGATAGTTTTTGTAGTTATTAAAATCTAAGGAGAATTTAAATTCAGGGAGAAGTCAATTAAATACTAAAGTTTAAAATGCAAGTGACCATGAATGTAATTCAGTTGTTTCCAAATATTTAGGCTTTTCAGAAATACTTTAATAGAATGGTGCCTGTTCAATCTAACTTGTTTTCTCCTCTGTCAGATACTTCCATATAGCAGTGAGTGTATAATCATAATCTTTTATAGTCTAGATAGGCTCTTTAGGAATTAATTCAAAATATATAAAATTATTTCCATGGAAAACTATTCATAATATGCATTATAAAATATTCTTAGATTTTCCTGGAGGAGCTATAAAGTCATTATTTTATTTTTTTTAATTAGTGTGCGCTTATCATGTACCAGCACTGAAGAACCATTAAACATCAAACTCGCCTTTAAGAAGTTCCCAGTATACTGATTAAAACAGACTTACAGACAGATCATTATAATGCAGTGTGCTGATGGGAAATAATATATTCAGAGAGGATGTTGCAGATAGATTCCTGGAGGAGATTAATTGTAATGTGCATTTAAAGGCCTAGAAGGAGTTTGCCGGGTAAAGAGGAGAGGTAGAGAGAAATGGATTCCAGGCAGTGAGAATCTGGTGGAAAAAAATGCCCAAATATGTACAACAATTAAAACAAACCAACTGGTGTTTCTTCAGCATAAAGTACAATATCCAGTTTCTATCAGAAATTTTCTCCAACTATAATTGACTATATTATTCTCTCCAATATGTCTGACTGTACTATTGAGGCAGTGGATGCAGGGGAGTAGGATCAAAACAAAAAGAAAAAGAAGTGGATGCAAGGGGGAGTAGGATCAAAACAAAAAGAAAAAGAAGAAACAGAAAGAAGTCTGCTTCTATTCTGACAGTGACAGGAAGCTCTAGCATGGGAATTATTAGCTCAGGACACGTTCTTGTGCTGGGGGCACCAAAACAAATCGAACATGTTATTCTTGAGTACAACACATGAATTCAGCACTGACTTACAGAAAAGCCTTCATATATATATATATATACACACACACACACATATGCTCAAATAATGTTGGAAAATACTATTGATATTAGAAACAATTTTTATTATGAATCTGATATTTCATTATGAATATGATATACATCATATACACTATTATATAGGATAGGGCAAAAGTAGGTTTACAGTTTTGAGCATGTGAAACCAAAGTTTATTCTTATATTATTATTTATTTATTATTGTACTATTTTCCATACAAATAATTCTAAACCTACTTTGGCTCCACCGTGTATAATATATTATGTCAATATAATATTATATTAATAGAATTTTATAAAGAAAGCAATATTTAGTATAAAGGCTTTAGGCTTAGAATCAAATGGATATAAGTGAGAGTTTCAGCTTCATCACTTGGAATCTGTGTGAACTTGAAAATCTCATGAAGATTCCAACGATTATTTTATAAAATGAGAATAGTTTTTAGGGTTGTTATGAGGATTAAATGATAAAGCAGCCAGTACATAGTAAATACTCAAGATATTAATTCTTTTCCCATTAATGAGTTTACAATTTATATCTTATCTATTCTCACAAGAAGACTTGAATCAGACTTTTGAAGTAAGGAAACAAAGACATAACAGATAACATTTAAAATGACAAAAATAGCGAAACTCATTTCCAGGGAAAAGGATTATAATTTTATTAGGAATACATTGCTTTGGAATTCCTGAGCATTGTTACTCTTTGAAGAAAAGATTTAAGTTGTTGAAATTCACATTGGAACTCTAACGGTGCCCTTCATTTTACCAGCTACCTCAAAATCCCTCTAACATTCAAACATAGTGAATTGGCTTTATTTTTGTTCCTTGACTGATTTTCACTGAATTATTTCCATAAACTTGAATGGCATGTTTGTAAGGTGCCAATATTTCATTGTTCCGCGTTTTTTTCTCATATAAGTCAATTTGATTGCTTTGGGTTTAGTCAAGTTTCACTGGGGATAGTATACAGTGTACATTTCTTTAATGATCTAAGTTACTTGATGTTTTCCTCCCTTTACTAGAAATAATGAATAGAATTACTCAGAATCTCAATTCACATGAATGGTTATGAGCCGAATTCAGGTTGCATGATGCCAAAAACAATTTTCTATACATAAGCTTAATTTGTCTATTTTTATTTTTTTTTAATTAAAGGAGATTCCCTGGTTAAAAACCATTTCTAGACTCTTGAATCTATCTCTTCGCTCCCACCCCTGAAAATCTTGAAACAAATGTAGAGGATATTTTTTTTTCCCCTAATGCTTGATATTTTATTCCTTCAAACCTTTTCCTAGACGTACTGAGTAAGTAACGTCGGAAGACTATAAACCCTAAGAGTGACTTCATAATGAAAACAATGAATGGCAAAAAGACCCTGGGATGGAGAAGGTGTCACTCTAGTAAGTGACCATTGAGTTAAAATGCATTCAAATTTTTAAAAACTACAAAGTATGAAATCATTACAAATGTCTACCTCAATTTGTTCCTTCAGTTTCCTGTAAGGTATTTGTAACTATGACTAAAGGTAAAATGGGAAATCCAAATGTAGTTTTTTTTAAAAAAAGCGATAGTCAAATTAGTTAAAGCAATATTATTTTTATGCATTGGAACATGGTTTACATATTCACTATTTTTGTAACATGTAGAATAGTATTTTTAATATTTAAAATTGAACAAATACTAAAATTAAATAAAATATGGTTTTAAATGTAAGGCTGAGATGCAATTGTGTCTGTGGGCCTTTATAAAAATAAAGACACCTTGACCTTCAAGTTTTCTTACTGAGAGTCTTTTTCTATTGCTTTATACTTTTGGGCCACTTACAAAATGAGGGGAGGGAGTCAGAGGGATTTAGGATGTCAGCCACTCCTCCCTTTCTTACCCCATCTCTCCTAGGTTTGCAAATGTGCCTGTGGAAAGGTAACCACTAATGAATCATCTGAAGAAGTTCAGGAGCTTTTATTAGGTGGGTGCATCAAGGAGGTTTTCACTGTAATCACAGGCATCATGTCTCCTTCTTATGCGTTGCTAAATTCTACACATCTACTTTGCATTCCTTATACTTGGTATTGTGGCGAGATCAAACAGTTAACAGACAATTACCACTTAAGTCTCAGTTGTTTCAAGGAAAAAGATGAAGGATAGTGTCTGCTCCAGCTGAGTTATGATGAGCGTTTATGGGCATAACAGTAATATGAAATCACTGAGGGACCACAGTGAAGATAGAGAAAGACCTTGCTGTTATGGAGGTTACATTAGAGGTGAAGGAGAC